TAACTTGTTCTAATTGCATATAAAGTTAATTAATTTTTACTAATTATTAATTAATAAAAATTAATTGATTTCATATGTAATTAGAACAAGTTGCCAGTAAAAAAATCTGAAAAATCTGAAAAAAATATATATTAAACTAAAGAACTTTAGCTATTTTTTGAGCTAAAAATAAAAAATATTTGTTAATAAGATTAAAAACTTTTATATATAAGAAAAAATACATATTTATTAATTATAATTAGTAAAAAATTTAAGCATTATATTATTTTTGATTGTCACTATAACTATAATTTGTAAAAATATTAATATTTTCTTTTTAAAATAGCTAATTTTGAAATTATCAAAATATAAATAATAATTAATAATATATTTACTAAATTTAATTTATTTAAGAATAAAAAAATAAATATTTTTAATATTATTAAAGAAATTCAATCTTATTTATTTTATTTTAATATTTATAATATTAACTTCTTTTTTTAAAAGATAAAAATATCTTTATTAGAATATTTAAAAATATTATTTATTTAAATAAATATTATTTGAAATTTCTATTTTCTAAAAACTAAACCAGTAGCTATAAGTAAATTTAAAAAATTAGAACTATTATTATTAATTAATTTTAAGTATTCTTTAGATTTTATAACTTAATAAAATTGAGTTTTTAATTTATTACCTAATATTTTAATATGTTTTGTATTTTAATAAAGTTGAATAAAAATTTAGTAGCTAAATATTATTTTTATTTTGCTTGATTGCTTTAATAAGAATTTTTTCAATTTCTTTATTATCTTATTTTTTTTCTCTTAATTCTTGAATATCGGATATTTAAGTATTTAAAGCTTCTTGTATATTATTTTTTTTCTTGCTTATAATCTTTAATATAATTCTGAAATTGAAGAATATTTTTCAAATATTTATTTTCTTTTTCATATTCAATTAATGATTTATGATTTGTTGTTGATAATACATGATATAATTACTTTATCTGTTATTATTTAGTTAATAGACTAAATTATTGTTATTTATACTTTCTAGCCACTGACGAACTGTGGCAGAGTGAACTTCAATCACACCACGTTGTTCATTGGCAATTATTTTCATTACCTCCTCCTGCTCATAAAGTTGTTTCTATGCAACGAAATTATGCATTAGCATTAGTATTAGCATTTTATTATAACAACTCATATTTATCATAAATACTTGCAACAAAATATGCAATTAGTTCAAATATGTGCATGTACTCTCCAACAAAATTCCATGAAAATGGCCACCGTGCACTTCGAACTTCTACAGCTTTGAAGCACGATATATACATTGATATCTCAACCAAGACAATACGATCAACTGTCAAAAGCAATCAGGTTATTAGCATAATAAATGAATTTTTGTATTCTCTAATGCTAAGGCAATGAAACATACCAATGATTTGCATAGTATAAAATTTCAATTTCATAGCTGTTTCAACAGATGCGTCAAGATATTGTTGTAATGTGCCTTGGAGCATTTCTGCTCCTTCCAGTAAAGTCTTTTCAGTATCTTCTAATGTGTGTTGACGATCCTGCATGGAAGGACCACCAGATGCCTCAATAGTCGCAAATTCTCTCTGTGTTATTTTGGCAACAGCTAATGCATCCACTTTGTAAGTAGTAGTTTGTTTATCAGGCTCATAAACAAACTGCAATGCTTTGGTGAACATCATGTGCTTCTCAATCCTATGTTAATGCTGAAGATAGGAATACAAAGCAGGAAAAAAGAATGGAGTGTAATAAAGCTGAGACATACCAGTGAAATGTCATCAATCCAATTACATATTCAATATACTTGAAGATAATTGACACCTGTTCAACTAAAAATTTTCTTTCTGATGCATGTCTTTCAATAGTCTGATCATTTCTGTATCGAACCATAGTATAGCTTTACAGAAGTTATTTATACTGACTTTTCATTCTCATGAATTCACAACGATTATACTTACAAGTTAATGAGAGTACTACACGAAAGATAAAACGTAATTTGTTTTCATGTTGACAGGCATCATTCAAAGGCGCATTCACTGCTGTGTCAAATGTGTCTAGAGAGCTCTATAAACAGAAATTTACTTTAATTTTTGGTCATATTATTGCTCCGCGACATAATAATAAGTCCAATACTTACTGTGAGAACTGTACGTAGCCATTTGACTAATCCTTCTGACAAACTCGCTAACTTGGCTTGTTCACACAAATGATATTTTATTTCTTTAACAACATCTGGATACTTGAGTTCAAGACTACCCATAAGTGTTTTCAATCCTGGTACTATTGTTGATGAAAGACTACAAAAAAGTGAAATATGGTTAACATACTATATATATGGAATACAAAACGAGAAAAAAAGATCCACACCTCACTGCAGTCTGTTTCAGAAGAATTGGTTTATGTGGGGTGTCTGTAGAGAATGGTACGTGTGGAGCCTTCCTATTTTTCAACTTCTTTGGTAATGGTGTTGGTGTCTCATATCCAGACATCTCCTCCCGATTTTCAATGCTGTTCTTCATTAAGCAAGGCAACAATAATTCTCTAATAAGCAGACTGCTGGACATCAATCATTTGCTATCTTTTCACACATTTCCCAGCACTCACTTGATGTCTTCGTTTATTTGATATGACATCCTCTAAATCCTCCTTGGCACACGGTTGAGAGTGCTTGCATAACTTTGATTTTCTTCAGTTGTTCGCAATAGACCCTTTAATTAATTTTTTTTCAATAGATAATTTCTATAAGTTTATCATGTCTGCTGCCGATTCTCACATATACATACCTGAAGACGTTTCAACTTCATCTTTTTTATTTCGATTGTTGCAGCACTTGTCTCCGTTTCAATGGCTAACCACAGCTTGTCTACGGGACTTCCCTTTCGACGCTTTCGCTATGCAAAAGGAGTCTTTTTAGTTGAGTTCCAGTACAGTTCCAGTACATCAAACAGTGGAATAATATAAATTGCGAATAATAAAGTGTTACGGCCGGCCACAGCGATCCTTAGATCATAAACGTGTTACCCGTAGGCTCACGCATAGCTGTGGTTGATACCGGCCACAGCAATCCTTTGATCATAAACGTGTTACCCGTAGGCTCACGCATAGCTTTGTTGATACCGGCCACAGCAATCCTTAGATCATAAACGTGTTACCCGTAGGCTCACGCATAGCTGTGGTTGATACCGGCTACAGCAAGCCTTAGATCATAAACGTGTTACCCGTAGGCTCACGCATAACTGTGACTGATACTGCAATTAAGATACCCCACTCTGCTAGGAACTAGCAGACCACAACGACCCGTAGACCATCAAATACTCCAACGCGTAGTTGAGTATCCTTGTTGTGGAGAAAGCCAAACCACAAATAACCTTGGTCTATGTGGCCACGGCCCAAGGGGACCTTTATCCAGCTATAACACATCCGAGTGAGAAATTTGTACTTGCCTTAGATTTTTCCAAAAGTGTTACTGCCTTCCTTACGTTATCAACGTTTGTTGATGTGTCAGAAATGTATTCTAAATTCTTGACGAGCTGTTGTGAAGCCTTCGAATAGTCAAGCTCTTCCGGGTTGCTCTTGTTCTGTTCCAACCAGAAACGGTGAAAACTAATAATTTCCCATTTATCAGGGCTATTCTTTTCAAAATATGGATGTAGTCTGAAAGTCTGCTGAGAAAAATTCTATTGTTACTGTCTAAAAGGTTACTGCATGCAAAGCTTATAAATACTTCACCTGAGTCTCTGTGTTGACAGAAGGATTTTCATTGTTTTCGTCCATATCAAAATCTACGAAAACACCAAATAAATGGCAAAACTTGAAGAGCGACCTTGAGAGAAACTAAGTAAAACATAACGATAAGAAGCAAAGCGGGCGTCACAGTAGTTAGCAATAGAAGGTTCGGCAAAAAACAGGATTTGCGCGTACCTCACGTATTTGAAGTTAGCGACAGCGTAGCTTAACGAGAACGCAGCAGATCAAATTTTTTTTAAATCCATCTTAAGCATAATTAAAAATCTATTTGATTGGTTAATCACAAAAAATTTTTTATATCGCAAAAGTACAGTGTGTTACAAAAAAACCGTAATTTTTTGCACGCGACAAAAACGCGTCTAGCGCGATCTGCTTATAAGCAATTCGCGATGCGTAAAATGCAAAATAAAGCTGACAATTAAGGTTAAAGCTTAGCAAATTTATAAGTGCTGTTATTGTGTGCATGCTTGAGATAATTGGAATAATGGCATACGAAATGCAAAAGAAATCCATGCTCGAACAGACATCTCACTCACAACAATTTATGATAACATAAGAAAGTTGAAGAAAACTGGGACAGTAAAACATGCAGGAGGGAATGGTCAGCCCAGAAAAATTAGTGCGCACGCATCATGGGCACTCGGACAATTTGTACGCAGGGATTCTTCATTTTCTACTAGGACTCTTGCAATAAAATGGATGTCAATGTGTCCCACGTTACTATTGCATGGCATATAGCTGACCATAATTATGTAAAAAGCCTCCCAAAGGCCACTCCAATGCTAACTGTTGCCCATAAACAAAAATGAATAGAATGGGCCAATGCTTACCTAAATGATGATTGGAGTCGGACCTTATTTTCAGATGAGACAGCCTTTCAGCTTTTTCAAAATATAATAAAACATTGGCATAAGGGTGCTCGTCAAATTCATACTATGCCAAAAGACAGAACAATAGTCTTCGCTTGGGGTGGGTTTTGTGTTGAAGGTAAAACCAGTTTATTCTGCTTTCGACAAATAATGGATGCCAAATTTTACATCGAGATTATCAGGAGACATATTCCAGAAATTATAGAAATGCTTGAAGATCATTGGCAATTCCAGCAGGACAATGATCCAAAATATACTAGCCGAATTGCCAAATATTACTTGAAAGAGAACATTTCTGAAATTCTGAATTGGCCATCCAACAGTCCAGATCTAAACCTAATCAGAAAACTTGTGGACAATTGTAAAGAAAAATGTTAAAAAGAAAATGCCAAAAAATATTAATGATTTAGAACAATTTATGGTTGAAGAATGAAGTAGTATTCCAAATAGCATTCTAATGTAATATTATATTGATCAAGAAGATGATAGCATATTATACTTGAGTTTTCTCATCTGTAATTCCTTGAACCAGAAATATAATTTTAATTTATATTATTCAAACAAGTACATTTTTATTTGATTCTTCAAAATAAATAGGTAATTTTACTAAGAGATAAGATGAAGACTTAGGATTAGAAGAATCATTTTCTTTAGCTATTTTAATTAATTCAATCATGTTTTTCATAAATTGTGTGAATTATTCTGTATTCATCTTTACTAAAATTTAATAAATTAAAACTAAAATATATATATGAAGTATATAATATATAATGTATAAAATATAAGATATTAGAGAATGATCTTTGTAATAACTATATTTACTACTATCAAGTTATAAGATTATTTTATTAATAATTATAAACAAGATAAAATGTAATATAAATAGTTTTAATTTTATAATTTATGATTATTTTTATTATTTAAAAATATTTAGATCTGAAGTAAAAGTACAAAACAGAAAAATCATATTTATAGTAAAAGAAATAAATATAAAATATAAATAAATTAATATAAATTTCTAATTTAAATTATATATAAATTTAATAAAATTAATTAACTTAATTTGCATTTTCAGAAGACAACTAATTATAATCTAATAAATAATAATGTAATAAATAATATTATAATCTAATAAATAATAATGTAATAAATAACTACAAATAATAATATAAATAATAATAAAAGAGAATAAATAAAAATATAAAAAATTATTAAAGAAAATATCTAATTAAAAATATTAATAATCTAAATTAGTATTATCTGCATGGTAATATGCTAAATCTAATGTATTAAATATATAATAATTATTTATGTATCCAGTATGAAATTAATCTTTAAGAAAAAGTAATACAAAGTTAATTTATAATACAGATAATGCAAAATAAAGATCTAAACTAAAGGAAGATATAATCTAATCAAAATTATTATACTTTAGCAAATTATCTGGATCTGAAAAATTAAAAATATAAATTAGAGAAATAAATAATATTATAATTAATTACTTATTTAAGTAGTGTAATAATATAATACAATAATATAATATATGACATAATTATTAATTATTTCTAAATTAGATAAATAAGAAATTAATATTAATTAATTTAATCTATTTTTAATTCTATTTTTTTATTTATTTTATTATTTATATTTAATCTTATTCTTTTATTTATTTAGTTATATATATTACATCTAATTTATAGTTTTATTAAATTAATAATTTTCTAATTAGTTATTATTAATTTTTCTTTCTTTTATTATAATTTCTTTAATATTTTGCTAATTTCAATTTTTAATTACTTTGTATTTAATTTAAAAATATTCTTTATAATAATTTTTCTGAAATTCTACTTGTTTTTAAGTAAATTAGGTGAAATATTATATTAAAAATAATTTGTAATTAGTATAACAAGAAAATATTATATATAAAAAGTTAAGAAGTGATTAAAAAGAATAATTAAGTTTGATAAAAGTAATTAGTTATTGAGTTAAGAGTAGTTAATTAATATTTTCTTATAATAAATATATATATTTTATTATATATCTCATCTTTATTTCTTCTTGCTTTATTAAGAGAGCATTTTATTTAAAGTAAAACTTATATAAATTATCTTATTAAAAAGATAATAAGTTATTATAATCTTTTAAAGTTATAAAAGTGAATAATTATTATGAACACAGTTATTATTATTATTTTAAAATATTTACATATATATAAACTTAAAATGATAATAATATAACTAAAATACTTATCTTTATATTAATCTGATCATGATATTTTGTCATAATTTTTGAAGTTATCTCATTTATAATATGTTAAATTTGAGTATTTTTTAATCCTGAAATAGTACTTACACTATATATAATAAGTTTAATCTTATTTATATCTACTTCTTTTCCAAATAGCTTAAGAATTTTTTAAGCTCTTTCAATCTTTTTTTGCAAGTTTACATCTGTAATATTAGATAGAAAAGATTTCATTTCCTTATATATTTTTGATCTTGTCATTTTATTCTTAATCTTATCATCTGCTATGAGACTTTTGATCTTATTTTCAAATTCCAAAGAATAATAATATCAATTTAAAATTTATTTCTGATCTGATTTAATTACATTATCAAATAAGTCTGATAAACTTTGTACAGAGTCTGAAACCATATTCTGTATATAAGACTTAATATTATTCAAAGATGTAGAGTTGATTTTAGAGAAAATAATACTTTGTGTGCTTAATTACAGACCATTTCTTGTATTAAATCTTTTACAATTTGATTATTAGATTCAGATATTTTGAAAGTAGTATCAGAATCATCTAAAGTATGATTTTGATCATGACATTTTGTCACAGATTTTGCATCACATAATGCTGAAAGTGTTATATCTTTTCAGATTCTGTTGAAAAAGCAGTTTGATCAATTAAAAATAAGTCTTTATTATGAACTTTATTACTATATAATAGTTTTTTTTTCTTATTTCTCTATCTTATCTTGTTATTAATTTTTTTCTTATTTTCTGAATCTGAAAAGTTATCAACTTCTTTATTTGGATTCACCAGAGCAAGTTTTATTAAGATTAAATATATCAGAAGATGTATTAATTATCTGTTCTAAAGTATTTAGATTTATAAGATTAATACTAATCATGGAATTTTTTATTTCGTGATGATTTAATAAATTTATAACCTATGTATTTTCTCTATTGTTAGATTGGAGTAGAATATACCAGAGACTTTAAATCATTAGTAGCAGTTCATTTATAATTTATTATATTCTTAACAAGTTATCTCAATTCTGTAATTTCAGTCTTGAGCTTAATATTTTCCATTTGACTTAACTTTGCAGACTGCTCTAATTTCACAATTCTAGCTATAAGCTCATCTTTTTCTTTCACAGTTTGTTCTAATTCTGTAATTTGAAGTATTCTCTTGTTTTAATAAATCTAGTTCAGATTTGATATTTTCTATTATTTTATATAAGATGCAAATATATTCAAAAGTTTATTTATATGAATGCAAATTATAATTACCAGATTAATATAAATATAAAAAAATAAAACTGTGATAAAATATCTAATACCTCTTTAAAGCTCTTTCTATTCAAGAAGATGCTATCAAAGTGGAACGTAATCAGATTATTAAAAATAATTGTTAATTTTTATTATTGTATTTATTTTTTATACTTATAATTTATATGTACATATTTATAGAATAAAAAATATAATGCAATACTATATATGGATTATTGCTCTATATATTTATTATTAAGCAAATTTCAAATTTGTAATTTTAAAATGCAAACTAAATTTTATATTATAAATATGAAATTATTAAAGTACTGATAAAGTCTTATAATTAATAAACAAAGAAAAAAGATTATTTAATAAATCATAATTAATATTATTCAGGATAACTCTTTGTCATGAGTAAAGTTCTTGTATTTTAATCCAGCCAGATCAATAAGTTCTATCACCAATAGAAATATACAATAGCACTCAAAAGTAATACATTACTAGGATGAAAAAATGAATCATGAAATTTTTAGCAATATAGATATCACAGTTTAAATGAAACTTAGTCCATATATAGTTAAAAGCATAAATAAATAATACATATAATTTAAAGAATAAATGTAATATCACTTTGCTTAACTTGAACTTTATTAT